CCACTCGATGCCATGCTCCCTGGTATGGGATGTGGTACACCCACTCGATGCCATGCTCCTTTGGCCAGGTGGTAACTAAGCTGTTCTTGAAATGAGTCCCATTTTCTGACTCAGTGTGCTCTGGGGAGCCATGTTGCCACAGGGCTTGCTTTTCAAGGCCCAGGATGGTAATTCTGGCAGTGGTGTGGGGCATCGGATGCGTCTCCAGCCATCCAGTGGTGGCTTCCACCATGGTGAGTACATAGCACTTACCTTGGCGGGTTGGTGGCAGTGTGATGTAATCAACCTGCCAGGCCTCCTCGTATCTATACTTACTCCAACGTCCACCATACCATAGGGGCTTCAGTCTCTTAGCCTGTTTGATGGCAGCGCAGGTCTCACAGTCATGGATAATCTGGGAAATAATGTCCTTGGTTAAGTCCACCCCTCGGTCTCGTGCCCATCTATGGGTGGCATCTCTGCCCTGATGGCCTGAAGCATCATGGGCCCACTGTGCTCGGAACGACTCTCCTTTGTGCTGCCAGTCCAGATCCACCTGTGACACCTCGACTTGTGCAGCTCCGTCTGCCTGTTCATTGTTGCGATGTTCCTCGTTGGCTTGGCCTTTGGGCACATGGGCGTCTACATGGTGGACTCTCACAATCAGCTTCTCTATCTGGGTAGCAATGTCTTGCCACATATCAGTGGCCCAGATGGGTTTCCCTCTGCCTTTCTAGTCGGCCTTCTTCCATCTGTCCAACCACCCCCACAGAGCATTGACCACCATCCACGAGTCAGAAGCTTTGGCCACTTCTCCCGTTCAGCAATGTCCAATGCCAACTGGACAGCTTTGAGCTCTGCGAATTGGCTCGATTCTCCTTCCCCTTCAGTAGCTTCTGAAACTTGTCGGGTGGGGCTCCATACAGCTGCTTTCCATTTACGTTTCATTCCTACAATGCGACAGGAACCGTCAGTGAAGAGGGCATAGCGTGTTTCTTCCTCTGGTAGTTGATTTTACGGTGGGGCTTCCTCAGCCAGTACCACCTGCTCTCCTTCTTCTTCATTTGCTAGACCAAAACTCTCACCTTCCGGCCAGTTCGTGATGATTTCTAGGATCCCAGGGCGATTCAGATTCCCAGTGCAGGCGCGCTGCGTGAGCAGAGTGATCCACTCACTCCATGTAGCCTCAGTGGCATGATGCGGAGCGGGTGCCTTTCCCTTAAACATCCAGCTCAGCACCAGTAGTCAAGGTGCCAGGAGGAGCTGTTCTTCTGTGCCAATCACCTCTGAGGTAGCTTGCACTCCTTCATAAGCTGCTAGGATCTCCTTCTCTTCAGATCCTCTGTAGCTTCGGCTCCAGAATCCAAGTGGGCGGCCTCGGGTCTCGCCAGGCACCTTTTGCCAGAGGCTCCAGGAGAGACCCTTATCCCCAGCTGCAGAATAGAGTACATTCTTCACATCTGGTCCTCTCCTGACTGGCCCAAGGGCTACAGTGTGGGCAATCTCCTGCTTGATCTGTTCAAATGCTTGCTGCTGTTCGGGGCCCCACTGGAAATCATTCTTCTTGTGGGTTACCAGACAGAGAGGAGTTACGATTTGGCTGTACTCGGTGATGTACATCCTCCAGAAACCTATGGCACCCAGAAAACCTTGTGTTTCCTTCTTGCTGGTCGGTGGGGCCGTTGCTGTGATCTTATCAATGATTTCTGTTGGGATCTGACCATGTCCATCTTGCCACTTCACCCCCAGGAACTGGATCTCTCGGGCAGGTCCCTTGACCTTACTCTTTTTTATGGCAAACCCGGCTCCCAGGAGGATCTGGATGATTTTCTCTCCTTTCTCAAAAACCTTCTCTGCTGTGTCCCCCCATACAATGATGTCATCAATGTACTGCAGGTGTTCTGGAGCCTCACCCTTCTCTAGTGTGGCCTTGATCAGCCCATGGCAGATGGTGGGACTGTGTTTCCACCCCTGGGGCAGTCGGTTCCAGGTGTACTGCACACCTCTCCATGTGAAAGCAAACTGCAGCCTACACTCTGCTGCTCAGGGGATGGAGAAGAACACATTTGCGATGTCAACAGTGGTGTACCACCTCGCTGTCTTGGACTCCAGCTCATACTGGAGCTCCAACATGTCTGGAACAGCAGCACTCAGCAGTGGGGTGGCTTCATTCAGGCCACGATAGTCCACAGTCAATCTCCATCCTCCATCAGACTGACGCATGGGCCAGATGGGACTGTTGAAGGGTAAATGGGTCTTACTTATCACCCCTTGGGTCTCCAGCTCACGGATCATCTTATGGATGGGGATCACAGAGTCTCGGTTCGTCCGGTACTGCCGGCGATGCACCATTGTGGTGGTGATTGGCACTCGCTGTTCCTCAACCTTCAACAGTCCCACAGCAGAAGGGCTCTCCGAGAGACCAGGTAACGAATTCACCTGCTTAGCTCTGTCTCCACAGCAGCTATTCCAAAAACCCATCTATGTCCCTTGGGGTCCTTGAAGTACCCGTTCTTGAGACAGTCAATGCCCAGGATACATGGGGCATCTGGACCAGTCACAATGGGGTGTTTCTGCCAGTTTTTCCCGGTCAAGCTCACCTCAGCTTCCACCATGGTCAACTCTTGAGACCCTCCAGTCACCCCAGAAATGGAAATAGTCTCTGGTCCCACATGTCCTGAGGGCATTAACATGCATTGAGGGCCAGTGTCAACTATGCCTTGTGTTCTTGTGGGTCTGACGTGCCAGGCCATCTGACCCACACAGTCCAATAGACACGGTTGTCCTGTGCCTCTACCTGGCTAGAGGCAGGGCCCCTCTAACACTGGTCTTGGTTGGGGCCATCACAGCCCTTTCCCTGTGAATACATTCAGGAAGAACCTTCTAGCGGGTCAGACCCTTGTCCCTGAGATACTGCACTTACTCTCATGGGCTTCCCTTTTTCTCTCTCCTTCAGCTCGTCTGTCTGCTCTCTCTAACTGAGGAATGTCTGGCTCTGACTTCAGAGGCTCTGGTTTGCACTGGTGACACATGGAAGCTGTTTTCCTTCATCTCCTCTCTAAGTTTCTTCTGTTCATCTTGTACTTCTGTAGTCAGTACCTTGAGGCTCTCAACCATTGTCCCTAAAGTGGAGATATGGGCGTCCCTTGGGACCCATCCCTGTGAAAAACACCAGAGTACAGGCCTGCAGGTGACATGGACGTACCTTCACCTGCTTCTGAATAGTCTTGATGCACATGGCAAAAGGATTGCCATTTCTCAAAAGTAAATTAAATCCTATTATTTTTTGAAATAAGAACATCCAGTGCCATTGTGAATAATTATTGGGGTTATTATGTTATGCTTTTATTTCCCCTGAAACAAACACAGATGTGGCAAAAGTAGATACACTGGAGAAATAACAAATATTCTGGAGAAATAACAAATGTTTGTAACCCACTGAAGTGGGTTCAGTATTAGTTTTATTGACCTCAATAGCTGCAATAAATAACCACTGAACACTATTAACCTGTCACATTTAGAATGGAAATGTGCACATTTTTATTTTGCTCTCTGCTATCCTCCTTTCTTTGTAGAAACTCTTACTTCTTCTTTGCATCAGCTGCACTGCCACCACACTAGTTTTTGAAAAAGGGTATCAATAACAACAAGGTATTATTTAAATTTTTTTGTGAATCAATAGGGATCCAGCCTTCCCTAGCAAAATCGTACAAATATTTAGGAAGCTGGAAGTTCTACTTTGCATTTCCCTGTTCTAATTCAGCTCATGAACATGGAATGAGCCACATACCATTTCTACAGCTGGTATTTGACTTCTGTTAAAAACAATTAAGTAAATAGATGACCTGACATTCCACACAGCTGTGGAAGAAGTTTCCTTTGTGCCACCTCTGTAGCTGCTGATTCATTTTGCAGGTCATGGACTGTGCGATGCCTCTGATCGGGGAGCACCAGACCGAAGACAGGCAGCACATAACTGAGCTGGTCGTAAGCAAAATGAACCAAATGTTGTCCAAAACTCCTATTCCATCTCCTCAGAGACCCACTGCCACTCAGCAGCCTCAGGTAGGAAACTTTTACTTTTAAAATGCAGCATCTTGATATATAATTTTAAGCTCAAAATTTTCCTCAAAGAAATTGGCTGGAAAACCATGCAGACACCTGGAACTACAAGATCTTATCAACATGTTTTATCAGTTTGTCATATTTAAATGAGATTGTCTCCAGGTATAATCAAGAAGTGCAAGTATTGGAGTGTTTCTACCAGGAAATGATAACTGTGGATTCAGTGAATTACTAGAATTTGTACTGTTTCCTTTCAGTTACATATGTATAAAATATCATGGAAATAATAAGAAGCACAGTCATGGACAACCTTTGCCCTGAGGATGTCAGAAAGAATATTAAGATAATAATTCTTGTTGTTCCTGTGAGAAATTAATTACATTATAATCTTTTTTTGTATGTGCTGCAGTACATGAAAATACCTGAGAAATCTAAAAAACTCCTGAAATATTTTTAGCATACTGGAAAACGCGTGCCAAAGGTTGCAAATAGATGCACTTCACGTATTTTATCTTGTATAGCCTGGCAATTACAGTGTGGGGATGCAGAATTCTGGCCCTGGCCTTGCTTGCAGGCTTTCAAGCTTTGGAAATCATCTTTGTGTTGCCATTTCCGTGCTTACAAAATGTGAAGTTTATTTTACTGATAGTTTAAAATAACTTCAGGGACCGCGGCGTTTTCGTAAAAGGCTCTGAGAACATAAAATTTTTGCTCCTAGATTGGAGAAGTATGGATTTGATGGGTGGAATATTAGGGCAGATGTCTGTTCTCAGTTATCAATGGCTCGGTGTTCAAATGGAAACCAGTAGCAAGTGGTGACCCTGGAGGGTCTGTGCTGTTTGACACCTTTTTTAATGGCATAGATGACACCAAGCTGTGTGGTGCATGCAGACTCTGTAGAGGTAAGGGTTGCCAGCCAGGGGGACCTGGGTGGCAGAGTCCTGCACTTGGGCCCTGGCAGTTCCCCACTGTCACCAAGACTGGGTGATGAATTGATTGAGAGCAGCCCTGCCAAGAGGACTTGGGGATGGAAAACTAGGTATGAGCACTTGCAGCCCAGAAGGCCAACTGTGTCCTGGGCTGCATCCAAACGGTGACCAGCAGGTCGAGGGAAGTGATTCTCCCCCTCTTCTCCACTCTGCAGAGCTGCCTCCAGCTCTGGGACTCCCAACATAAGGACGTGAACCTGTTGGAGCAGGTCCAGAAGAAGCCACAAAGATGCTCTGAGGGTTGGAACCCCTCTGCTCTGGAGACAAGCTGGGAGAGCAGGAGGTGTTCACCTGCAGAAGAGAAGGCTCCAGGGAAACACTACTGAGGCCTTTCAGTACATAAAAAGGGCTTGTAAGCCCCTTTTTTTAACCAAGACTGTAGTGACAAGGTAATAGTTTTAAACTGAAAGAGGGTAGATTTAGATTGGATATAAGGAAGAAATTCTTTATGGTGAGGTTGGTAAGAAACTAGAACAGGTTGTCCAGAGAAGTTGTGCATACAATAAGAGGAAAATCACTCTGGCCATAACCAGTAAGGATGTGTTGCTGCTCTGGACCAGCACAGCTCCACGGGGATCAGTGAAGGAACAGAATAAGCTAAACTGTAATACAGGAGTTACCAAGCCTAAATCAAGAATCTATTTTTACTTCCAGTAGGCTCCACACCAGGTAAACAATTTGAAAACAATTTTGTGGCATACCTCAGACAGACTAGTTCTTGAGGCAGAATGACTAATTTGTTGTTCAAATATATCATCATGCTTTAAGATACAAAAATACACCAGCCCACATAAAAAAGTGGTGTGGCTTCTATTTATAATAGGGCCACTTGAAACTAAGCACAAAATTGTTTCAACCACGGAACCACATACAATGGAGAAGTTTCCATCCAACATGACTCAAGTCCATTGTAAAGGGATGAAAAAAGAAAGACAAGGAGGGAAAAAAATAAATCAACTTATGCCAAAATAGCTTCTTTCAGGACTAGTAAATTATCCATATATTAAAATGAAGCAAAGAGTCAAATTTAGAGTTTCCCAGGCAATACAAGTCAATATAAATAAAAATTTAAACCAATAACAGACATTACTGTAACATAAATAAATTCATATTTGATAATTCACATTTTGGGGAAAAAATAGAAGTTCTTGAGTCAGCATGCTTTCCTGGATTTCAGAGAGGGCAAGGGAGGAGGAACATTTACGGTTACTGGGGTCATCCGAAGAAACTGGCTATTTGTTGTATGTAAAAAAAGTTCTCACTTATTTCCAAAGAAAAACTGCCTACCTAAGTCCAGAATGAAAATAGGGCACAAGGAACATTTGCAGAAGGTTCCTAAATTCCTGGATCGTTGCTGTCACTCAGCATGTCCATTGAATGGTTTTTTTCCCTCTTAAACAAAAAAATTTTGAATGTATCCAAAGATAATATTCTGTCTATCTGATGGATTTCTGGTAGGTTTCTATTTAGTTTAGGTTATTACTGAGGGATTCAGCCCTTGCTAACGGCAACAGGATGTTATTCAACATTAATCTTCTTTTCTGTATCCTATCCTTAAATTCTGGATTGCAGTTGACCAAAACCAGAGATATGCCTTCAGAATACTTACAATATCTTTTAATTTTCTTCTCAGTTAATCAGGCTCTGCTTCCTTAGAATTGACCTTGTTATATGATCCACCAGTTTAGGACAGGGAAATAGGATCTGAATTACTACAGAAGAGTCTATTTGCAAATGCCCCCTAATCTTCCCAGCTTTAAGGGACAACCATGAAACAGCTCTGTAGTATTTAAAGCAGATTTCTCATCATGTGCAGTTAATTTTTAGCTGGGTTGTTTTGCTAAGAATAAAATCAGTCTGTTAAAACAATCTGCCCCTTTTCATCTTTGAGCAGTGTTCTCCTTTTCTAATCCTGTTCTTGGGAAACACAGTCCATTTATTTGTGGGGCAGGGGGACATTGCCCATTTCTACAGGTCACATAAAATGCAAAGCCAGTAATTTATCCCAAGTCAACTACATGCATGTGTACATGTGGTCTTAGAAACCAAAGTAAGAGATATCAAAGAGTAATTGGTGTGTTTTGCTACTTTGGTTTACAGCTACAGTTGTGCCATGTTTTGAATTCCCTTATTATCTGTGTGGGCTTTTAAAAAGTATTTACAATCTGCTCGCTCCTGTAGCACTGGGTGCATCGTGCACAAAACATCCTTCAGTTCATAACTGCCCACAATGGTCAGGACTATTCCAATTAACCATCCATCAGAAAACAAATCAATGATTAGGAAAATAGGCCTTTGTTTAGTGCTGTGCAGCCAAATCTTGGTGGAAATGATTGGCTTTGCAATGTGTTATGAAGGCTGACAAAGTTCTCCCTGTCTGAGTGCCAAAAGGAGCAAATTCCAAAGGGAAACCTCAGAGGGGCAGATCCTGTGATTCTTAGACCATTAAATCTATAATCTGAGGTATCAGATATATCAAGATTTTTAAAATATATGTTACATATTTCTTTATTTATCTATAAACACTTGCACAGACTCTGTAGCAGGTTCTACTGGTGCACAGAGGGCAGTGAAGCTGTGCAGGAGGAGGCTTGGACTCAGAGAAGGTCTATCTTAAAACTAATTACAGTCAAAAAAACCTTTCAAAAAATGAAATGGTTTCTATTAATTTAAAAACATTACAGCTTGTTTTACCGTAAACCATGCTGAAAATACATAATAGAACTTGATCTAAGAACACGATTTTAAAATTTTTCACTTTTTTTCTACTTGCAGCATTTAAAAGATGGAAATCTAAATTTCCACTTTTTGTAATGTCTTTGCATACTTTTGAGAGATCTCTAGAGAAGCCTTTTTTAAGTCTTTCCTAAAAACCAAACCAGTAGGTTGAACTACCCAGTGAAGTGTTCTCACCAGGGGAACTACTCCTCACTGCCTCCATCTGTTGATAGGAAAGACCACTGCCCAAAGTCCTGCTGCCTGGGTCTGCAGAGCCCTGCAGGAGGTTGCTCAGTGCAGGCTGGTTTAGGCTTCTTTCTGTACCAGCATTTGTATATTAAACAATAATGGTCAAACATCTGCTCAAGTCAGGATATGACTTGTGCTGAACTAAATTCTGCAGAGGGTATGACACTGTCCATGCACGTTATCACACAATGCCAGTGGTGATGGTCATGTTGAAGCTGAAGCTGAGGAAAATCCTGTCAGGGAAATGTTAATTCAGCTCTCCTCTGCAGAGACTACATTGCATTATCCACAAAAGAAGAAGGAATTTATTATTCTTAATGGAAGGAAGGAATTTGTGCACCAGAGACACAAGACCAAAGTGACGTGACGTCACAAAGAGCACAGCATTCCCACCTGTATCCTGGCTCTTTTTGGTTTAAAAGAGAGGATTAGCACAGTTGTAATAACCCAAAAATAAACCCATGTCATTCTTTGTTCCCTGACCCCTCATGTGATGTTGCTGGAGCCAAGCAGTTTTATCCAGTTTTATTCTTCTATGTTCAGAGAGAAAATTGAACCAAATGTCAGCACAGTGTAAATAACAAAAAGTACTAATTCTAGAGAGAAAAGCAAACCATTAACAAACTCCCTGTTCTTGGGCTTCCATAGGAGCAGTCACAGTTCTGTTACCTTCCATCTGTTGCATTTAAGGTTTTTTTGAAACAAACTACTTATGATGAGCAGCAACTTGTTTCAAATCACTGAAGCTTTTATGATGACCAGAAGATATGGTTACTTTGACCTTAACTGAAGGGGAATGCATTTAATTGGAAAGGATCTCATCATGGAGTTATATGGAAGTATAGAATTCAGTATTATTCTGCTTTTTAGAAGTAAACTCTGCACTAAATTTGAGGTGTGGACCCTATCTCTATTTTCTCCTTTCACAGTCTCGTAGAGATTCACCTCAACTGTATCCATAGATTAGGAGAAGAGGAACAGGGCCATGACTTGCAGTTTTCCCACAGCTTTGTATTATCCTTCAGATCCCTCACACTGAATCTT